CTTTCATCGCTATTGTCATCAGCACTACAGTCGCTGTCCTCTAATACCATAATATTAACGCTGCGAAAGTCGTTGTGACAGAAAACCAGAGGACTGTCGCACTTATCGACCAATTGTTTGACAAAATCCAACTCCGCTTTCAGTGAATGCGTTTTCAATGCATTCAAATTGAGTTCATTCACTAGTGTTTGGGTTTTCGGGTCGTTTTCAATGATATTATACCAGTTGTAGGCTGTGGTGAAGAACCAGTGCTTACGCTTTACGGGCACATCCATGGCGTGAATTCGGGCCAACCCTTCAAACACTTGTCGCACCAGTTGTGGCCGATTTTGATCCGCGAGTCCGAAGTGCCGGTGCTTTTCATACAATGTAAGTTTACTATTGCGTTCACGTATGGGTTTTATTTACAACATTAATAATTATATTTACCTTATAATAGGCGAGAATCTGCCCCCCATTGAACATACCGTACACTCTGGGACCCAATCCATTATGGGATACCATTAACCCGATAATAATGTCGCCCAGCCTTTCACCGCCCGATCCATCAGTAATTAAATTTTTGCGTCCATACAATCTGATGGCCACTTCTCGGGGAACCGCTGTTTGCGGTGACTCTTCGCCGTCACTCTTAATACGGCAGCAATACATCTGATTAGTCAGTCCTCCGGTTATCCGTTTCACTTCAATGGTGTCCACCGTTTGTTGCGTCCAAACGCCCGACAAATACTGTTTGCATAACTCAAGGCATGTGTCGACGATATCGACGGGTGTTTCGCCTCTAATGAGATCCGTTTGATTCGTGGCATTAAAATCAGTCACTGATTTAAAGTCTTTCAATGTTTTCATTTCATTTTGTGGACAATTTTTCTCGCTTTTTGTTTCCATTGTTTTTTTTTATTAAACAAAATTATATAATTTTTATACAATAATTGTTTAATTAATTATTAAAAGCACTTATTTGTTGTAATTTCTATTTATACAACTGTTATATCAGTCAATAAAATCAATTGATTATCAAAGTCAAGGA